GTCTGTTTGAAGACGAGCGCTGATCTGATTTGCTGTGATGACACGATTTCTCAAGGCCAAGGTACGGATAAATCGATCCTGGGCTTGAGTTGTCGCCCTTGGTCGACCTGAGCGTGGTCTGTCCTGTACAGATTGTGTATCACGGTATCTGGACCATAGCCTGCTTATGACAGACTGAGAAACATTCATCGTCCGCACCACAACCGCCTGTGTTGTGCCGATCTGTAGCATGCCAAGGGCACGTAACCTTTCATTTTGGGTAAGCCGACGCATATCAAAATTTGTTTTATGGTCACTAAAACAATTAAACTGATGTTTCCACCCTGGAATTCAATGCCACAATGACTGTAACATTCAAAGTCAGAGTCGTGCAAATCTTGGGTTGGACCCCCATGATGATCCCAAGCATCACATGCATTCCATGCGGTAGCTATTGGTGCGTTTGGGCGTCACATGTAACTGGAAATGTTTCTTCTGTTAGGTTCTATAGTGACTTTTTTCGTAGTCATTTGCATATTTTAGTATTATGCCCCCAAAATCAAATATCCCCTACTTTTTTTGAATAGTATAATTTTAACACAGAGATCATTGCTACGATAGCTGAGTAATGCAGGTTTCTTGAATCGGAAGTGACGAACGCCAAAGGAAAACACGAGTCACACCTCTATATAACTGACTGATGTGACGAGTGATAACAGATACATGGCCGAAATTCTGCTCTCTAATAATTCCTTCGAAGACCAAAAGTTGTTGTGTGAGACTGTGAGAGGATATCTGCAGACAATTCATAAAAAGAATTGACTGCCACTAGATAAGAGAACCTGCATGAAAGAAAAACAGAAAAAGTCCGTGCATTACCATGTTTTTTTATACGTCCACATTCATAATGTGAACGTATTATGCCGTCGCCCCTGTCTGTGTGTGTGTGTGTGTGTATGTATGTATGTGTGTGTGTGTGTGTGTGTGTGTGTGTGTGTCTGTGGTTCGCCTACAGGGCGCAATTCTTCATGGATTTTCTTCAAACTTGGTATACTTATTCCTTATACCCCAAGGAAGATCCCTATTGTTTTTGGTGCATGCCCGACCCCCCGGGGCAGAGCCACGCCCATTTCTAGTATTTGTTTGTTTGTCGTCTACAGGCCACATTTCTTAACTAATAATCTTGAAACTTTGCATACACATTCTTTGTACCCTAAGGAACATCCCTATCGTTTGGGGTGCATGCCCAACCCCCAGGGGCAGAGCCACGCCCATTTTCTTTTCGTGTGTCTTTGTGTCGCCTACAGGGCGCAATTCTTACTGGATTTTCTTCAAACTTGGTATACTTATTCCTTATACCCCAAGGAAGATCCCTATTGTTTTTGGTGCATGCCCGACCCCCAGGGGCAGAGCCACGCCCATTTCTAGTATTTGTTTGTTTGTCGTCTACAGGCCACATTTCTTAACTTATAATCTTGCATACACATTCTTTGTACCCTAAGGAACATCCCTATCGTTTGGGGTACATGCCCAACCCCCAGGGGCAGAGCCACGCCCATTTCCCATTTTCTTTTCGTGTGTCTTTGTGTCGCCTACAGGGCGCAATTCTTACTGGATTTTCTTCAAACTTGGTATACTTATTCCTTATACCCCAAGGAAGATCCCTATTGTTTTTGGTGCATGCCCGACCCCCAGGGGCAGAGCCACGCCCATTCCTTATATTTATTTATTTGTTTGTCATCTACAGACCGCATTTCTTAACGTATCAACTTTACATATTTATTCCTTATACCCTAAGGATGATCCCTATTGTTTTTAGTGCATGCTCGCCTCCCCGGGGCAGAGCCACGCCCATTTTTGTATTTGTTTGTTTGTCGTCTACAGGCCGCATTTCTTAACGTATCATCTTGAAACTTTGCATACTTATTCTTTGTACCCTCAGGAACATCCCTATCGTTTTGGGTGCATGCCCACCCCCCAGGGGCAAAGCCACGCCCATTTTCTTTTTCTATGTGTGTGTGTCGCCTACAGACCACAATTCTTAATCAATTGTCTTGAAATTTTTTCATATGAATTGCTTATACCCTAACGATGACCCCTATTGTTTTTTTACCCCCAGGGGCAGAGCCACGCCCATTTTCTTTTCTTTTTATGTCTGTGTGTCACCTACAGGCCACAATTCTTAATCAATCGTCTTGAAAATTTTTCATATGAATTGCTTATACCCTAAGTATGATCCCTATTGTTTTTGGTGCATGCCCGACCACCAGGGGTAGAGCCACGCCCATCCCTTATATTTATTTATTTGTTTGTCATCTACAGATCGCATTTCTTATCGTATCACCTTGAAACTTAGCATACATATTCCTTCTATCCTAAGGAACATCCCTATTAGTTGTGGTGAATACCCAACCCCCAGGGGCAGAGCTACGCCCATTTTCTTTTTTTATGTCTGTGTGTCACTTGCAGACCGCATTTCTTAATCGATCATCTTGAAATTTTTTTTAGACTTATTCCTTATAGCCTAAGGCTACGTTTTTACACTTATTCCTTAATCCTAAGGCTGGCCTCTATTATTATTTTTGGTGCATGCTCAACCCCTTGGGACAGAGTCACGCCTAATGTTTGTGTGTCTTGTGTTTTGCCTACAGGCCGCAATTCTTAACCGATCCTTTTGAAATGGGGATACCTATTCTAAACGTCATGCTTTTAGAATAAAGACATCGATTGTTTTAAAATAAAAATTGTGTTCTGTTAATGTGAACGAAACGTTAAACTGATAGCAGTCCTACAACCCAGTTTTATTTCACAGACCCTCAATGCAAACTGGACCATATCAAACAAAACAGGAATGTGGACGTATATTGCTGCGTTAGCGATGCTCTTGTTAAGGTATAGAATGAATATAAGCAAGGGAATGTACGGACTATTTCTATTTTTCTCGTGTTCTCTTATCTAATGACATTCAATTACTTTATTGAATTGTCAGGTATCCTCTTACAGTCCCATATAGCAACTTTTGGTCTTGGAAGGAATTATTGGTGAGCAGAAATTTGGCCGTGTATTTGTTAACTCGTCACATCAGTCAGTTATATAGTGGGATTACTCGTGTTTTCCTTTGGCGTTCGTCACTTCCGATTCAGGAAACCTGTATTACTCAGCTATCGTAGCAATGATCTCTGTGTTAAAATTATATTTGGAATGTGTTTAACCAGCTCTATCACATATGTGATAATGACTGGCACCAATATTGTCCATTAAATATCAGTAGTTTCTTTTTATATTATTATTTCAAATTAATTATTACATTAAAACAGTTCACAAATTTATTAGTAAACGGATTTCACTAATTTGCCCAATCTACTGATAGTGGGAAGTGTTCACCAGTAACAGTAACTAGAGTGAGAAGTTTACGTGATACTAATTAAACATGCATTATGCAAGAGCAAAATCTGCTTTTTATAAGTCTTTCTTTAGGCCTGAAATATTATCTAAATTATCAATTAAGCATTAATTAACTTATCCAGACCATAATAAACTCTCGATGTCAATGCTAGCCTTCGATGTTGGCTGGATTAGATTCTTATATGCCGCTAACGGCCGTTGATAATTAATTCAGAAAAAGTGGATAATCGAGACTATGCTGTTTATATTAATGATTTTAGAAATGATGACCGAGACTATGCAAAAATTTCACCCGCTTCTTTCTCGGCTCATAGTGGATCAATTTGACTGAAATTTTCAGCAAATTACCTTTACACTATCTAGTTTTTAACTATTATAGCGAGAACTGCCATCTCTTTATCTTATCTCCCATAATGTATCTTTAATTAAAACAGAGTAGACCTACACCCACGGTCTACTAACCTAATCCTTTATCAAAACAATCAAATGCGGGGGAAAGTGAGGTTAAACCGTGACATCACCCATGCATTTTAGTAAGACGTTCATCCCCATTTCAGTTGTAGGAGAACTATTCGTATTTTGTGCAGAATGATAGCAAATACTTTGCCATGCGTTAGACCACAGACAAGACCATAATCAACTTTCGATTTTATGTAGATTAGTTCACGCCGCGGTTCGACCATTTAAACATACATTATGCAAAAGCTAAATCTGCTTATTGCAGGTCTTTCTTTAGGCCTGAAATGTTATATAAACTACTAATTAGACATTAATTATTAACTAAACAGTATCATAATCAACTGTCGGTGGCATCGGACACTCGAGATTTTAACTAGATTAGAACAGTTCGCCATTTAAAACTTAACTTAAAAATGGGAAAGCGATGCTAAGTCTCGAAAATACCATTGCCCTGGTTACCACAATACACACATTTTGTCAAAACTACAGTGATAACTAGGCTCAGAATAAAGTAATTTGAATGAGATTTTCAATATTTTCATTTTACATTATCTATTTTTGAGTTATTATAGTAAGAACTGCCATATCTTTATTTAAATCTTACATAATGTATCTTTAATGATTTACAAGTAATTTAAAAAGGGGGGGCGAGGCCACGACTCGAAAGACCAGCACCGTGGTTACGATATTAAACAATCATTGCACAAATCTTGGTTAAACTGCAAATATTGATAACATCGCGCTCCAAGTAATTTGAATAAAATTGTCAATATATATTCATTTTGAATTATCTATTCCCCAGTCGCTATCTACAACCATGATATTAATTACTCGCACTGTTCAACTTAATTTTTTAAGTTTCCTATTAAACTTAATGGCTCGAGTTTATCATATCACACACATATCACACACAGTTTGTACGTAATATTCTATAGGTTTGACCTTGGATTTCGACCTTGATGTACGTTTGTATGGTTTACATTACATACGGCTAAATTCGGTTTCTTTATCTTAAACCTGGGATAGACTGATGTACATCCCAAATTACACGTACACACGCCTAGAAAAAAAATCAGTTAATAAAATGCAAATGTTTTTGCCCACACACAATAAGAATATTTCCAGATATCTATATAAAAGCAGACGAATTTATACGCTAATCACTGTCTGACCTTTGCCGGTTATTGTCAAGGTCGTGTTCTCTGCGGCAATTCATGACATGCATTGTCGCCCGAAATTCTTCGTTTACTTGACATCTGTTGTTCAGTCGAGTATCACCTAAATAATACAGTGATACCACGGATAGTATATGAAAGATCGACACTGCAGCCAATGACATTGATGGATATATTACGGTGATGTTATTGGTATCATATTGTGTGCTAGGTGTACAACCATTACTGAATTAAAGCCAATGCTTTTATGTATGAAATTCGCGTACATTTGCATTGTCAATGGGTTTTTTTTTTAGCATACTATCAAAATATTTTAATATCTGTACCCAGTTACATACATGTACATTTGCTGGTTGTATATAACATCGTGATGATTTATAAAGGGAAATTGTGTTGAACAGAAACAGATGGATATCTTGTTCTTTATTTAATTCTGTCATCGAAAGAAAACCCCATATAGAAGCGGACCGGGTCGATATAACCGTTCAAATAGATTATATAATAATTATTTGACATCAACTCTTCACTTATGTCATTTCAAGTGAAATCAACAACAGGAAATGAAAACCTGTGATAGATAACGCAATACCGAATTACAGCCTACATCCGGCTTTAAATGCTGACGTGTACCGCTATTCTAATTGGCAGTGGCAAACAGTGGCAAATTTTACAGTTTTCAAAAGACGAATTATCACAGAGAATTGTACCAAGAGCAAAAGACTAATGTGTGCCTTCTAAAACTGATGCCGAAGAACTAGAAATTACAAATTACATTCTTCTCGTAAAGATTTTGGAGTTATGATGTACATTTTATTTTAGAATCATATTGTTTGATTCGGAAAAACTGGAGATATATTCGTATACTTTGATTATTATTATCTGGAAATACAGAACGAGATTTATATTTTTAATATTGTCAAGATCACCAACTATATAATATGTTTTCTTCAGTTCTTTTACTAATCGCTGTGTTGTCAATCCTTGTGTACTGGATAATAACGTTCCTATCGACGCCATCATCTGAAGAACATCTGGTTTCTATCTTGCCAGGCAAGTTACCGTTTATTGGCCATGCCTGGAAAATGGACATGTCCAAACCTCATATCATACTGGCGAAGTGGGCTCAAATGTTCGGGTCCATTTATCGAATACAGTTATACAATAATGAAATTTTAGTCCTCAACGATTATAAAAGCATATACGAAGCATTAGTTGTGAACGGTACAGCTGTAAGTGGGCGACCACCTATGTACAGAACTTCTCAAGATGGTCGCAACCGCCATTCCATTGTGTGGCAGACGTATAACGACAAATTAATGTTTTTAAGAAAAGAAGTGTTAAAATCTTTGAAAATGTATGGACAAGGTCTAGAACAATTGGAAAGTAAATGTATGGAAGAAATTCAGGAGTTACTGAAACAATGCAAACTTGTTGAAAACAACCCGGTCGATCCATGGCAGATTATATATGAATCTGTTTGTAGCATTATGCTGAATTTGGTACGTCAATTTCTGTACATAAATTTCACCCTTGTGAATAAATGAAATGAAGTGATTTTAAGGACATACATTTCTGCACCAACAGAGATAATGGAGATGGACATACGCTATGCAGTGTATTATGGGGAATTTTGGCGCTACAGTCTATTCTTATTTCGATTTCCAACGGTTCGTTTACGCGCATGCCAACGTGTACACGGGGTCTCGTTTTTTCGCCCCATTTGAATGACTATAGGCTGTTCCTAATAAAAGCAATCTTTACATTAAAATGGTAGGCTACATAGTTTTGATTTTTGGAGATGGATGTGAACGAAGTGGATTAGTGAAAAATTATATGTAAAACTATCCGTTAATCTCCCTCCAAAGATAAAAATGCTGCCATGAAAAACCCAACCTTAAAAAAAATAACATCTTGTTCATATTATATAGGTATTGTCATGGACCTTATTATAATGTCCTTGGTATTGTGTTCAGCTATAACGGTATCAATTGTGAGAAGAAACATCCGCGATCGGATAATTCGACGATGTTCTTCCTTATGCACCATTGAACAATCCCAAAAATTCCATTTGGAACTCTAACCTGTATCGCGTTCGCAAAATTAAATAAAATTTAGGTTTCATCCTTATACCCATCTTCAATAGAAGGCTTGGTCTCGCTTTTTAGGAAGAAAAAAAATAAATCCACTCTGTATGGGGTACACAAGATTTCATGAATTTAAAGTTTGCTCGAAAATATTCGACTGAAATGAACAATCCCACTATTTTTTTTAATAATTCACTATTGTGTTCACAAGCTTTAACACTCCAAATGTGAATCAAAAGAATTCTGGCTTGTTTTCCAATTAGCGATCACAGCATGTAAAGGTTTTGAAAATTTCATCAAGAACTCCCGTATTGCGTTCACAAGATGTCATAAATTCCAAAGCAGTGAACATAATTCCACTTAAGACCCAATGAATAGTCCTCGCGAATTGAATAGTGACCTTATGAAACTGTAACGTGTGAAACTGTGCACCGACATGTAACACCCTGGAAAGATTACCATACTTTACTCTATCTAATCAATGACTTTAATTTCAGGTATTAGGTTCAGCGAAAAGTCACAATTCAAATTCTACATTGAACAAAATCAAAGACATGAATGTAATGTTCAACGATACGTTTGGTTCTGGAAATTCTCGAAAGATGGATTTTTTGCCATGGATGCGCAATGTGTGGTGTTCTGAACAACAAAGATTGAAAAAAGCATTAATTCTCCGGGATGAAATTTGGAATAATGACATAAAACCCCTAATGGTAAGATCATTTATTACTACAATTCTTTGATAATTCGGATTTTACATTCCAAGTGAAATTTATCGAATTAATATAAACGAAATCAAGTTCGGTTCCACATACCTCTTGGCATGGCCGTTCAAGTTCTGTTTACGCAAAATGTGCGTTATAATTTTATTGATAATACAAGACCAACACACAACAGGTAATTAAACAAACAAAAGAAAGAATATTTTTCGTAAAGTCATCCCTAAAAAAATACAATTCATTTAATCTCGAATAATTTATTTTATGTATTTTCACTACAGAGATCTTCCAGTGACAGCGTTATCCATCGCCTTCTTATGTTTTCGGAGCACCACAGTACGAACGATTTGAACGTCTCAGAAGATACCGCTAAAGAGGTCTTCACTAATCTCATTCTCGCTGGTAGGACTTTATCTTATAATACCAAATGAAATGGTAGTCTCGCTAGTAGGACTGCATCTTATTATAATGCCAAATGAAATGGGGTTTAGCCGCCTGATTTTCTGCACCGAAAGGACTAATGAGGACGGACATCTGAAGAAAATTTTTGCCCGGACAGCGGCGCTACGATCTACTCTTATTTCGAATTCCAACTGTTAAGGGTTCTTTTACGTGCACGCAAACGTTGACACTGGACCTCGGCTTTTCGTCCAGTCCGAACGACTGGATGCTGTTCTGTCAGGCCCTCCGTCGTGCACCACTGACAAGGGGAATCCACGCTGGAAAATCTCGTTTAACAGTGGGATGGAATCCCGGACCTCCTGGTTAGCGAGTTAACGCCTTATACACTGAGCCACCGCGACCCCCATTATAATACCAAGACGATTGATTTACCATTTCAAGAAAGATTCTCAATGTACTTGCAAACTATGGGCTGTTTAAGACTAACCCAAAGATTTATTCTTATTTGGTGTTCGTTTACAGTGACGGTACACACTATTTTGGCACTACACATTATATATATTTAAACGCATGAATTAAAATGCCCATTTCTCCGTTAATTTTTCTCTTCTCTATCAGGTACTGACACAACATCCACAGCATTAACTTGTCTATTATTACTGTTCCTTCATTATCCTGACGTTCAAGAAAGGATGTATGAAGAAATATCGTCAGTTGTTGATATTGATAGACCACCACGGCTCACAGATCGATCAGCATTACCTTATTGTGAAGCTGTATTACTAGAACTATTACGTTATATATCACATGTGCCGTTATCTGTACCACATTACACTATGCAAGAAACGACCATAAATGGTAAAAGGGTCCCAGCGGATTTAACAGTGAGTACCTCATAAATTCATTATCGGGAAAGCATTTCTCGTCAGGGGGTCACGGTGTTCGATCCCTGCATTGGCCGAGAAAGTTCACCCAGATTTTCCGGCGTGGTTTCCCCTTGTCAGTGATGCAGGACGGAGAGCCTGAAAGGACATCTGTCTAGTCATTCGGATGATGAGACGAAAAACCGAGGTTCCGTGTACACATTGGCGTACACGTAAAAGATCCCTTGACAGTTGGAATTCGATAAAAGAGTAGGCCGTAGTGCCGCTGTCCGGGCAAAAATTTCCCTCATAGCACACTGTATGGCGTATGCCCGTCTTCATTAGCCCAGTTCGGAGCAAAACAGTAGGACGTTAAACTCCATTTCATTTCATTTCTCGTCAGCATAGCGTCTACGAACCCCTTTTTTTCCTTTTGCGGGGTTAATAAAACAATAAGATAATTCCGTTCATAGTACAACAGTTTAATTAACGCCGGAAAATCTGGATGAACTTTCTCGGCCAATGCTGGGATCGAACACCCGACCTCCAGACTAGCGAGCCAATTAAAATTAGAACATACTTTCGTTTGGTTTTATGTCCTCTATACATACACAACAAGAAGGAGATCTAATAACACCTTTAAAATGTTTGTGTTCGAGAGCCACCATTTAACAAATGAACAGATGCATTTCTTTATCAATAATGGTTTTAACCAACACGAATATTGTACGAAAGGCCTTCAGTTGAAGAAACCCCCCACATAATATTACATTGAACATTTTCAGGTATATATTAATCTGTGGGCATTACATCACGATGAAAATATCTGGGAGGATCCATGGACATTTAATCCTGATAGATTTATTGATGAAAACGGAAGATTGCTTGGGCCAGGTCATCAGAAAAGAAGGAGGTAAACGTCATTGTATTTGTTACCCTTCTCTCACCAGATTCAGATGAACGCCTTTTCTTCGCTGTCTGATGTAAATAATACACATACCCTGATTTCCAAACCAATTTCAATAAAACATATTAGCTGAAATGTTGCTATAATGTATAACACAAACGTATGTGGTTTTTTAATATTATGACATTTTGTATAGATACCGGTTGTTACATTATATGGACTTGTTTTCAGCTCGTCCAGCCGCCGTATAAAACCCCGTAGTACCTTTATCCAAGAATTCTTCAGGAATTGAGTAGTTCAGATTCATACCCTTACCCAAGCAACTACCCTGACAATTTATACACGAACACGTTATAAACAATGAAAAATGTCAAAGTGCACATATATAGTACACTAGTCTGTGTCCAAGACGGCCGCCTAGTTAGTGCTCATTATCTAAATAGCTTTTCTTGTTTTTATACGCCCACATTTTAGTGGGCTTGTATTGTGTTATCACCCTCTCCGTCGAACCGACGATCCGTCAGTCCGTCGACAATTAAGGCCTGTGAACGTGATACAGGCTAGAGTATTTGTCGGAATTTAGTGTGAAGCATCGATATTCGGCGTTCTACGACTTTCTGTTCCCGAGGTATGCCCCCTTTGCCGAAAACTTTGTAAGCGCGATAGAGGCTGACATTTTTTTAATGGACTGTTTTCAATTTTTTCAAATTTGGTTGCAAGCATTGAGGTCATGAGAGAATGAACCCTATCGATTTTCAGCTTCCCCAGATTTTCCAAAGTTATCCTCCCTTTACTGGAAACCTTTTGTGCGCGATATAAGCTACGATTCTAAACAGATAGGCTTGTGAACGCGATAGAGGCTACAGTCTTCAAATTTGGTGTGATGCATTGTGGCCACGAGAGGATAGCCTACACTCGATCGATTAGGGTGTTTCCGGTCCAGAGTGAACCCCCTTTGCCAAAAAACCCTGTCAACGGCATAGGAACTATTTTAACCATTTTTTTTTTCAAATTCGGATGTAAGCATTGGGGCTTAAGGAATGAACCCTATCGATTTTTTAAGCTTTCCTTGACTTTTCGTTCCGGAATTACCCGCCCCCCGCCATTGCCGCAAAGCTTTGTGAACGCGACAGAGCCTACATTTTTTTTATCGAATATTTTTCAAATTTGGTTGCAATTATTAGCATCAGTGGATGAACCCAATTAATTTTCAGCGATAGAGCCTACAGTTTTTGATGGATTCTTTATAAAGTTGGTATGAAGCATGGTGGTCATGAAAGTACGAACCCTATCGATTTTCAGTGTTTCGCAACGTTCCATTCTGGAGTTACTCCCTACAGTTTTTAACAGGTTGGCTTGTGGGCGTGATTGGGGCTACAGGTTTTGACGTATTCTTTTCAAAGTTATAGCGTGAAGCATCGTTCTACTAAGAGGACGAATGGTATCGATAATCAACGCTCTGCATGAGTTATGCCCATTTTTTCTACAGACCCTGTGAACACGATACGGCCTATAGTTTTCATACTGTATATTGTTTTCAAAGCTGGTGTGAAACATCAATGTCATGAGAGAACAGACATCGACATCCAAAGTTCTGCGACCTTCCGTATCAGAGTTGGGATCACGAGATGATGAACGTTATTGATTTTCAGGCATTCTGCTAATTTTCGTTATGGAGTTATCCCCCTTTTCCGAAAACATTGTGAAGTATGAACGTGATAGAGGCTATAGTTTTTAAGAGACAGTTTCGTAAAATTTGGTTTGAAGCATTGGGTCATCACAGGATGAACCCTATCGATTTTCAGCGTCTCGCGATTTTCCGTTTCTGAGTTATGTCCCCTTTTCCAAAAACCTTGTGAACTTGATATTATAGTTTTTAATGGTCTTTTTCATATTTGGCCTGGAACATTGGGGTCATCGATCCCTATCGATATTCATAATTTGCAGTCTTCCTTGCCTGAGTTATTCTCGTTTGCTGAAAAGCGCGTGAATACGATAGCGACTATAGATTTTAACAGATTTTTTTTCAGATTAGGTTTGACATAATGGGGTCATAACAGGGCAAACTCTTAAGATTACAATTTTCAAGGATCCTAGATCCTTGCCAAAATTGCTCAACATCCAAATTTTCTTTTCGGATAAGCTGCAGTTGGGACTGCTGATTGTGGGGGTATTCCACGCTTTGCGTGTCTATCTTTACCGATATTGTAATCGAACTAGATCAAATGATCTGTTTTGTGCCGAGATTCCGTAGATTGACCGTCCCAAATCGAGGACACCGTATTTTATCAGAAAATAAATCCATTTTTTCAACCCGGTTAAATCTCAAAGTTACGTTATGTTTTCTCTAAAATTAAAATATGCAATGGACTTTTTTCAGGTTAATGGTATTTGGTGCTGGTAGAAGGGTGTGTTTGGGTGAAACGTTGGCTAAAAACAGACTTTTTCTATTTGCAACATCATTGGTTCAGAAACTTACATTTTCTGTGATTGATAGAGAAACACTACCTAGCTGTGACCCCAGAACATTTGAAATGGGTTTAGTGTTACACCCGAAGCCATTTCAGTTAATCTTAAATAGTCGAAATATACATATGTAGTTAGTTTTTAGTTATAATAAAGTTATAAAATGTTTCATCTCGCATATTCTCGCCTGGAACTGCAGTTCACTCAGTTCAGCACATCTGCTCAATAACATACCGTCGAACAATGTAATTTGTAAATAATGACAGTGAATAATAGGTATATTACAACATGTATGTGTACAAGACAATAACCATTTCAATAACCAAGCAGAGATTGGACGGTATTGGTATCGCCGGTACTGAGGTTATTGGTACCGATATCGATGCTGGGACAAGCTAGAGATTCCCAATACACTCAATCTGTGATGAGTTTCGTTTTCGCGTCTTCGACTGATCAGTTTCGTTTTCGCTTCTTCAACTTTTTCTTCTATCTCGTTTAGCGTCATTCAGTACCGCCTCCGGGAAAAATTGGATTGAAAAATGAAAGTAATTAGTCAGCCTCCGACTATATCTGACTTAATTGGAACACTAAAAGGAAAGTGTGCATGAGTAAACACTACACTCAGCCTGTTGTGGCTGTGTTAGGTATAGATTCGTTTTTGTTTTTGTTGCTGTGATTGTTTTCTTCGACCTTTACTTCTGTCTCGGTCAGTGTCAGGCAGTACCAGTAACGGTCCGTACTTGACGACACTGTAATGGTGCCAGGAAGTGTTAAACCATGGTACTTTGCAAACACTGGTTTCATGTGTTTCAAGGACAGATCCAGTTTACTCCACCTAAAATTCAAGAGACTTTTATCCTAGTGTTAAAAAAAGTAACTAAGCCAAATAATAATGAAATATATATATTATGTAGGTGGTCATTTTCGGGTGTTTTTCGGTGGTCTACTGTGGGAAAAACCAAAAACAATTTGCTCGGGTTCAAAAATTCCCATATCCTAGCTTTTTTTCTGAAAAGAATATTTATAAGCATGTCACGACCCGCTCACTTCACTCGACACAACTATTAGGTATTGTGCCAAATCCTTCTAGAATTTATTGAGCCAATAACTAACTGACGGAATGGAGTTTCGTACTTGGGTCATTTAAGACTAACATTTACTTATTTAAGTCATATTTAAAACCTTGCAGCTGGACAGATAAGACAAACTCTTGATAGAGGTTAAATTATTAAATGGTCGTAGCAAATTGTTCCATCGCAGATTTGTGAAAATGAAAATTCATTGATGGTCAGGTTTTAACTATGGAATTTGGTGATGTTTCACCCAAAATAATACAAAACACGTACCCTTAAAGTAGTTCAAATCGGAACCGAGCTACAACATAACAGACACTACAAAAATCTTCCCATTCCACCCCGGTCTGGGAATGCTTATCCCAACAAGGAAATAAGCCTTGTTCAGATGAAACCAGACGTAATGTCATAATACGTTTTGACAGAACATGAGGGTAATCAAGCAAAATCAATAGTATTTCTATTCTCATTTTTTGCCTAGACAAGGCAGAAAATCATGGAAAATAAGGATATCCGTTCTTCGGGTGAATGGAATCATTAGATCAGTTTATATTTTCTGCACAGGATTCCCCGTCATATAGGTCACAAAGGAAGGAAAAGCTAAGAAAATAGATAATACATCAAACTAAACGGTGGAATGTACGGACGGACAGTGACGCATTATATTAACTGACCAATTAATGAGGAAACAATCTCAGCTTGCATGGCCATCTACATATATAAGGAAATTTGTATCTTGGTCAATCTCTTCAAATAAGGTATGAATACGTCCATACATTTCTGGCATAGTTTAAAGACACTTTCTCACAAAAGTAGCCTATTTATCGGGTGGTTATTTCCAGTAAAAGTATGAAAAGTATATTTTGGTACATATGGAAAGTAGAGACACTCAGTCTTACTATAAAATGCTGTATACCTGGAAAAACACCCATGGAGCGCGCACAGGACAAAAATACGAGGGTGTCACTAATTGACAGTCCGACGATCAAGAACTGTCGGCTTGAGTGACGTCAAAGGTTTCACCCATGATTGCCTGAGCTCTTGGCGTTAGGGGGCGCTTGATGAATATGTTAATAAACTTGATGGTGAGCGGATATTAAAAGAGTGAGAGACTTTAGCGTACAACAGTTTCCGAGATAAAAATCACGGGAAAAGACATGAGCAGGGGATAATCCGAAAATTTACTTAGGTTTCGATATTTATGGTAAATGGATAGCGATTAAAGACAACATCGTCTTTTATATGCAATGAATGCTCCTCCAGCTTCAGGCCCATTGCTAGTTCTGCGACAGCCAAGTTACGTGACACAAACATGATGACTTCTTTTAATAGATAGTGTATAGCTTGGTGGTATTTCCTCGCGAATACAATGTTTTGAACGGAATTTGAAGCAAATTTTTGATAGATTAATAAGTTTGAATAGATTTTAGTCCAGATATATCATCAAATCCCAGAGCATTTATAATAAACATTAGGCGGATGCATGTATCTGCGGATAGCGAGTAGGCGTAGGACTACCTTCCGAAACATTTTGTTTAACCCTACCACGACCAACAAACATTGGGACTCTTAATTGCAAATATCTGGTAGTAGAGTCCAAATGAGTTAAATAGGGATCAATCAAATATGCATTAGTTTGTCTGCGATATCACCTTGGTGGAAGCGGACGTAAAATATAACTAACTCACACATATGCATTAGTTAGTGGCCTGAATCCATCCTGTGTTGTCTCTCTTTATTGTGAGGACTGGCAGCACTGTTCAGTAATGGCGCTGTCCATGAAACAAAACAGAAGGTTGCCAAAGTGTGAATTTAGCCAGGTGACATGGAATGATGACTTGTTTGTCACAAATTGACGTATGTTTACTGTTTAAATGACATGTAAGTTACCAAGGCCTTTGATGGATGATGTCATTATAACAGATAGATTTCATCATGTACATTTTAACATTTGTACTGTAGAAATTTGGTCGACCCTGGCAGATGATTTTATAAATACATGTATAAAATACTTATAAATGTACTTATATGTCATTTCATTCATTTTACATATAAACCTATCACTCAATATTATCACTAATCTATGAGTGACACTATCATGAATTAGAATTTAGTATATTCATTCAATCATTGTTGTTATCTTACTGAGAAAATATTACTTACTGTCTGAGTCTTGGTAAATTTTAAACAGATTTCTTCGATTATGAACAAACTACTTAACTTTGGTTATTATAAACTTACCTGTGTGTTTGTAATCAACTCCCGTTCGATAAAATCCATTGCACAACTAATTATCACAACGATGAAAACAAGTTCTCTCTTGAAAAATTGAAATATCACAAACTTTTCCCAGAGAAAAATACCAATATCATTTCGTATTAGGGGTGACAGCATAGGAAATTCAAGTACAATTACGACAAGAATCCATGACCACTCGGACCAAAGACCACCCGGTTCAAGACCAGTCGGACCAACTGATAGACCACTCAGCCCAAACAAATAGACTACTCGGACCACACAAAAAGACTATTCGGACCCAACAGAAAGACGACTCGGACCAATAATATAGTGTTGTTTTAATAAATTGATAATTGCGTTTGTTTTAATATGATTACTCGAACCAATAATAAAGTGTTATTTTAATAAATTGATAATTAGGGTTTCACACTGCGTAGCTTGTGTGAAACACTATTGTTTTTGTTAAAATTATTAGGGTTTCACACTGCGTAGCTTGTGTGAAACACTATTGTTTTTGTTAAAATTATTATTCTTATTATTATTATTCTTCTTTTGTTTTGAGTAGATCTCAGCAACTGATTGTCGGATCGTTACGATTTCTTCGGTTTTATCGGAAAAGTGGGTGTGACTTAGAGGATAAAGCTATTTTGAACGTTCTGCCACAATGCGAAATGTCCGAAATCACCGAAGCTATCGTTTTTAGAAATATTGCAGTAATTTTAACAATAATCATTGGATTTTAACTTTCGATGCATTTTGGCATAGCCGGAGACGGGGCACATAGCTACGCTACTTTTGATTTTTGATTTTCGGCAAATCTTCGCAGATATTAGGCGCTAAATTTAGAAAATTTAAATTTTTACAAAAAACTTTTTTATTTATGAATATTTTTTAGTCGTGTTTTACACAAATATAACGAGTCCTCTGACTTGGCCAAAAATGTGAAAAAAATTTGTCTCGGTAATTTTCCTTGGCCCCCATTTGCTAATTCAGTTTTTCAGTCCTAGATTAATTATTTATTGTTCAATTTGTATAAAACAAAGTTCATATGCTCCGTTGTCTCAATTGTCTTTTTTTTTGTTACCAATAGTGTTATCTGTCGGCACCGGAAGTGGCGTAAATTGACAAAAAACTACAATTTTGACAGTTAGGTACCATTTTTCGAAAGCAAATATTATTTTTTTCAAATCTGGTATAACTGAAATTGTGCGCCCTTTAAAGGCGTACAAAATGTTGGGACCAGTTTTTTTAATTTCGATTCCGTTTTCGGGCTATTTCGATTAAAAGGTGAAAAAAGGTGTAAAATTAAGCTATTTACAACCCATCCAGCGTTTTCATATTTTAAAATATTACTTCGTCACTTTCATAAACTCCTAGCAATAATCTATACGGAGAGAATGTATTTGAAAATTAATTTGTTATATGCGCAGTTGCCGAGAAATGGGCAATTATGCATGAGTCACTTTTTACGCTAGTTTGCCTGTAAAAGAGTCAATTATTATTCGATTTTCATAAAAGTGACACCATTTGATGTGTAATGTCAATTTTAACTAGGTCAAACCAATTTAACATTTTCAATATCACCGGAAATGACGTAATTTGGGCAAAAATTGTATTTATAGCCTTCGAAACCAGTAATTTATTCAAATGAGTCATATTTGTTATTTGTTTAAAATTTTGATATTTGATTCAAATCAACTAATACAATGAACCCTTACGATCATATAGATATCACAAAATAGTTTCTAACTTGTTCAGTTGCGGAGAAATAGGCAATTTTCAACAGGTCACTTTTTAAGGTTTTTTGTCAATAAAAGTGTCAATTATTATTCGATTTTCATGAAATTTTCACTGTGTGATACATAATGCCATTTACGATTTCATACAAGTAATTTAAGATTTTCATTATCACCGGAAGTAACGTCATTTTGGCAAAAACTGTATTTTTAGCCTTCAAAACATATATTTTATTCAACTGAATCAGATTTGTAATGTTTTTAAAATTATGATATTTGATTCCAATCAACAAATAGAATGAACTCATTCGATCATACAGATACCTCAAAATGGTTTCTAACTTGTACGGTTGCAGAGAAATAGGCGATTTTCTACAAGTCATTTTTCAAGGTTTTTGGTCTATAAAGGTGGCAATTATTATAGGATTTACATAAAATTTTCACCATGTGATGATGCTATTTCTGATTTCATAAACCAATTTAACATTTTCATTATCACCGGAAGTAATGTAATTTTGACAGGATCACTGACATGTAGCAAATGAATTGATTGCTGGATTTGGTTGTTTCTGCGTCCATTTTATTTCATGTGTGCAATGCTTATGTGGAAACCTGTTTAACGGTTTCATTGGTACCGGAAGTGACATAAGTTCAAGGGTAACGTGGCACCGGTGAAACCCGTCATTACTGCTTCGCAGTTCTAGTTATTCTTATTATTATTATTAGGGTTTCACACTGCGTAGCTTGTGTGAAACACTATTGTTTTTGTTAAAATTATTATTCTTATTATTATTATTCTTCTTTTGTTTTGAGTAGATCTCAGCAATTGATTGTCGGATCGTTACGATTTCTTCGGTTTTATCGGAAAAGTGGGTGTGACTTAGAGGATAAAGCTATTTTGAACGTTCTGCGACAATGCGAAATGTCCGAAATCACCGAAGCTATCGTTTTTAGAAATATTGCAGTAATTTTAACAATAATCATTGGATTTTAACTTTGGATGCATTTTGGCATAGCCGGAGACGGGGCACATAGCTACGCTACTTTTGATTTATAATTTTCGGCAAATCTTCGCAGATATTAGGCGCTAAATTTAGAAAATTTAAATTTTTACAAAAAAATTTTTTATTTATGAATATTTTTTGGTCGTGTTTCACACAAATATAACGAGTCCTCTGACTTGGGCAAAAATGTGAAAAAATTTTGTCTCGGTAATTTTCCTTGGCCCCCATTGGCTAATTCATTTTTTCAGTCCTAGATTAATTATTTATTGTTCGATTTGTATAAAACAAAGTTCATATGCTCCGTTGTCTCAATTGTCATTTTTTTTGTTACCAATAGTGTTATCTGTCGGCACCGGAAGTGGCGTAAATTGACAAAAAACTACAATTTTGACAGTTAGGTACCATTTTTCGAAAGCAAATTTTTTTTTTTCAAATCTGGTATAACTGAAATTGTGCGCTCTTTAAAGGCGCACAAAATGTTGGGACCAGTTTTTTTAATTTCGATTCCGTTTTCGGGCTATTTCGATTAAAAGGTGAAAAAAGGTGTAAAATTAAGCTATTTACAACCCATCCAGCGTTTTCATATTTTAAAATATTACTTCGTAACTTTCATAAACTCGTAGCAATAATCTATACGGAGAGAATGTATGTGAAAATTAATTTGTAATATGCGCAGTTGCCGAGAAATGGGCAATTTTGCATGAGTCACTTTTTACGCTAGTTTGCCTGTAAAAGAGTCAATTATTATTCGATTTTCATAAAAGTGACACCATTTGATGTGTAATGTCAATTTTAACTAGGTCAAACCAATTTAACATTTTCAATATCACCGGAAATGACGTAATTTGGGCAAAAATTGTATTTATAGCCTTCGAAACCAGTAATTTATTCAAATGAGTCATATTTGTTATTTGTTTAAAATTGTGATATTTGATTCAAATCAACTAATACAATGAACCCTTACGATCATATAGATATCACAAAATGGTTTCTAACTTGTTCAGTTGCGGAGAAATAGGCAATTTTCAACAGGTCACTTTTTAAGGTTTTTTGTCAATAAAAGTGTCAATTATTATTCGATTTTCATGAAATTTTCACTGTGTGATACATAATGCCATTTACGATTTCATACAAGTAATTTAAGATTTTCATTATCACCTGAAGTAACGTCATTTTGGCAAAAACTGTATTTTTAGCCTTCAAAACAGATATTTTATTCAAATGAATCAGATTTGTAATGTTTTTAAAATTATGATATTTGATTCCAATCAACAAATAGAATGAACTCATTCGATCATACAGATACCTCAAAATGGTTTCTAACTTGTACGGTTGCAGAGAAATAGGCGATTTTCTACAAGTCATTTTTCAAGGTTTTTGGTCTATAAAGGTGGCAATTATTATAGGATTTACATAAAATTTTCACCATGTGATGATGCTATTTCTGATTTCATAAACCAATTTAACATTTTCATTATCACCGGAAGTAATGTAATTTTGACAGGATCACTGACATGTAGCAAATGAATTGATTGCTGGATTTGGTTGTTTCTGCGTCCATTTTATTTCATGTGTGCAATGCTTATGTGGAAACCTGTTTAACGGTTTCATTGGTACCGGAAGTGACATAAGTTCAAGGGTAACGTGGCACCAGTGAAACCCGTCATTACTGCTTCGCAGTTCTAGTTCTTATTATTATTATTATTCTTCTTTTGTTTTGAGTAGATCTCAGCAACTGATTGTCGGATCGTTACGATTTCTTCAGTTTTACTGAAAAAGTGGGTGTGACTTAGAGGATAAAGCTATTTTGAACGTTCTGCGACAATGCGAAATGTCCGAAATCACCGAAGCTATCGTTTTTAGAAATATTGCAGTAATTTTAACAATAATCATTGGATTTTAA